ACACACACACACACATAAAAATTTGTAGTGTGCATGCAAGGACACTTTTCCTCATACAGTGTCGGTCCCAAGACAGTTATTTTTTTTAGAACAACTTTATATATAAATATATATATACATTCATACACGCTATAGAATGTTTGTATTGTTGCAAAATGCATTGAAAGCGCTCTCATAACACACCAAACTGATTTTATGCATGAATCCCTAATATGTTACATTTCATTTTGTTGGTTATATGACTAAATTAATTAACACTCCATCCAATCTGCATTCATACTTTCCTTAACAGTTTTGTTAAATGGGTTTTCAGATGATGTGTAATTAAACAAAATAAAAGGGTCCAAATGAAGTCATATTTGTAATTATTAAGGCCGCTTTGAAACTGAAATTTAAACAATTTTACAACATGTCTCAGTGTTCACTGAAGCAATTTGCTCAACAAAAGTCAGAGTACAGATGTGTTAAACACTCATTAAAAATCTAATTAAATTTGTTGCGAACTGTCTTTGTTATCGACTCTGTGATGAAGAACAAAGCATTTCAATGTCCTCTTAGTGACACACACACGTGCAGGGACACACACACATACTTGAGTGAACATGGTCTGATGTGTGTTTTACATTTCTGCTGAATGGAAATATTTGTCATTCGTATAATGAATACATCATTTGTTGTTGGGTATATTTAACAATTGCATTGTAGTTTCACATGCAGGTATTAAATGCAGCTGGGAGATACGGACAATTAAAATATTAAAATACTATTGAGGTTGCATTTAGCTTTACACAGTAGTTCCTCTGGTTTCTACCAAATTCAACTATTGATGACCTGGACTGAAAAAAAGGAAACATTTTTTTTTTAAATTTTAATATGGCCAGTTATTTACATTTTAAATTTTAATATATACTTCATATTTATTTATTTATTTCTCGGATAAAATACTGTGTACTTATATTTTATGGTGTTTCTTTCTAAAAGAGAAGCTGTCACTGATGGGGCCCCTGTGCTTTCCCCAACACTACACAGAAAGTGAGTTCAGTCAGTTGTCCAGGGTTTGTATGTGTGGTTAACGCTGGCATTTCCAACAGTTCTTACAAATAAAATTTCGTATAAAGCAGCTGACCTACAGTGTAGTTATCTTTCACCGTAGTAGGAAAATTAATGGTATTTTTTTCCGAAAAAAAAAAAAAAGTAACACCGCAATAAATTAGTGCCAGTCTTTGTACGGCAGTGTAACTGACAATGTACTCGTAATATTGCGGTACATTAAGTAGTTCTAATCAATGGCTTCTCAACGTGTGAAGTTCAAAACTCTGGACAGCTCCACTGAGTGCTCCATGAGTTCTTTTGTTTTTTTTATTTTATAAAACAAAACATATATTTCTTCAGTTTTCCTTTTTGATAATGTAGTTTCACCTGCAGAGAGCAGTACAGAAGCATTTATCTACTGTATGTGGAGTTAAAGTGAACACAATGAAACCTGACTTTGACTGATAACTTGTCAAAACCAATAAGGGTTTTGGGTTTTAGTTATGTTCCATCAACACAATAGAAATCTAGTATCTTTCTTCCTTCGACAATCAATAAAAAAATAAATGTTGGAAATTCCCATCTGCATTTTATAACAACATATTGAAACACACACTTTACAACTAATATTGTTCAAACGTTCTGTAATACAAATGATGACATTCTTTCTTAGAAAAAATGACCACTATTTGCATTACAGTATTTCAGTGCAGTCATAATTTGGAACTGCTGAATAGAGACACAATGAAAAAGAAAATGTATTAATATATTTGTGTTAGTGCTTGTTTAATTTTCAATTTTTTTTTTTTTCCAATTAAAGAGAGTCATAGTTGAAGACATGGTTTTTGTCATACAAAATGCAGTCCACAAATATGCATAATGCATTTACACCACTCACTGTAAACGCACCACATGAAATTCACTGAATGCATTTAATAAAACAAAAGAAGCGACATGAAATGTGATTTGATCTCAGAAAAAAGAGAAAATAACAAAGGCAAAGAAGACACAGCTGAAAATGCTGATAAAATTATACGTATACGATGAAATTCATCCGTATGACACAAAGGCGTTTTCTCATCGAATGCCACACCCAAGGGCCCTTACTAAAAAACAATATATGGATACTACACTCCTCTCGTATAGGTGCTATCTCAGTAACACACACACACACACACACACACACCCAGCCACAGGGTCAGCGCCCAGTGTTTCTGCATGAAACACAAGAAGCGGCTCCATGTGTAATGATATGGCTGTATTCTCTGCAGAGAGAAACCACAGCCCAGCTAACGCGGCTGGCGCCTCGCAGCTTCTTGGAGAAAGAAGGATGACCAAGCATTCAGCAAGACAACCAGATTAAATTACTGCTGATCAAATCAAACAAAACTAATTGAATTAAGGTCTTTTTTTTTTTTTTTTTTTTTTTTTATTTGTATGAGCAATATAGTAACTTGTGCTTCACTGCAGCATTTTGCGTCTTTTTTGTCTTTTCGATAAACACATTGATTGCATTGTTTAAGATTTTTAAATTCACATTCAGCGTTTCAACCGAGAGCACAGATTTACCTCCATACAACTCGTGAGGACATAGCAAGAGATATTCTAACATTTTAGTCTGCGAGTTTGTATGTGCTGATAATGACTCACAGACAGGGGGGTTGTTGCATTACCCAGTTGCATACAGTAACTGCTTTGTGCGTTTAGATATTCAAATTATCGCCTGCTTGCTGGTATGTGAGAGCGTAGAGGCTTCAGGGCATAAAAGCTGGCCAAATATACAAACTCATAAGCTATCAGTATCAACGCTTTGGGCAATTATTAGCACATAAAAGAAGCTGTTAGATGAAGGAGGGGGGAAATATACTGATGTCACTAAGATAAAGGCTGCACAAACAAAACAAAATAAACAAACAGACAAAAAAAAAAACAGGAATAGCGAGAATATACAAATGTGTCTTCATATGTGTGTGTGAGAAGGACCTGAGTGGGGAGAATGGATGGGGGAGGACTGCTGGCTTCTGTACAGTACCTGCTCTTTGCTGGCCTACTAATGAGGTAGCCAGCGATGTGCACTTTTCTCCTATCTGAGATATTCAATGCAAATGAATCACTCAACATCTTTAAGACACTGCTGTGTTTCCCTTTCCTTCACACAGAGACACTCAGCTGTGATTCAAACTGTTCAAAGTGACCACATTTTTGTGACATAATGTGTACCTCTTTTTCACCTTAGATTCTTAAACAGTCGTTTTTAGTTTTTTTTTTTCCTTGTGAAGGGTTAAAAACTGCTTGCTGTTTCAGCGTAAATGCCGCTGAAGTTAATTCGACAAGAGCAGTGTAGCCTTGAGCGTTTTGCGTAATTTAGTTTAGTTATGGACTAATGAATGAAATACACAAAACAGAGCTGTTAATACTTTGTCAATAACAAGTGTCAACACAGGCAGAGAGCTTGTTGTTGGAGCACAAAATGCCGCTGACCCCGCCTTATTTCTGCCATTCAACTTTGCATTTACAGCAATATGGCTTTGTCTGAGGATGATGATTTAAAAAATATATATTTGTAGCAGAACAAACAGACTTCAAAACATGATTTCACAGAGGAAGGGAAAAAGGGCTGATGCAGGTAGAAAGTAAGGATAATGGTCTCTCCAGACCAGGTGAGCCCCATCCATAGGGGTCCTCACCCACTCAACTCCATCGCTACCACATCCTCAATCTCCATGACAACCACTTACCATAACGACCCCCCTTCACTATGACGACCTCTGCCACCCAGCTGTCCTCCTGAGGCCTGCAACAGAGCTAATATGGCTGCTGCAGAGCGACCCAGGAGACTGAGAGCACCACCCTCTCCTCTTCTTTCCTGTAATTCCTCCACCCCAGGGGGGGTTAAAGCAACTGAATCTGACGAAGTGCCTCTCATTCAGACAATAAAACCCACTCTATCCTCTGGTTCCACTGGGTTAAGTGACCCTTCGCCTCCAGGCACAGGAATCAATTGGATCTACAATGCTGCTAACCAACAACCTAAGAACTCCCTGTGACTGTGGAGCTGCTCTCTCTTGTAGCCTTGAGAAAATTTAACCCAAGACTCTTCCTTCCTTGAAAATTCCTTGAATGGCTGCTCTAACCCAGTTTAGGACCCAATAGCTTGCGTATTTTGAAACTGAGGTGGATGTGTGCAAAAATGAGAGGGCAATTGTGTGCTAGAGGAATGTGTGTGGACTTAAGTGCAGCAAAAGTACAACCCAAACACACACACACACACACACACACACGCATGCACACGCACACACAGCTTCTTAAAGAATCTCTTTGTGTCTGGGGGTTGCAAAATGATTCCATGACAGCCTGTCAGACATCATATGAAATTGATTCCACGCAGCCAAAGCTCCCCTCTCCCTCTCTACGCCATTATCCGTATCCCCCTGATGACTCCTCTCTTGATCAGCCTTATCTCTCATATTGTCTTTTAAAACAAATAGCTCCCCACAAGCTACAGTGTCCTGGGTGGCAAAAAGTAAGGCATGTACAGACAGTGATTGGAGGTAAAATGAAAGTGCAGAGAACGTTGTCACTGTCAATTTTTTTGGGCCAGAAGTCCTGCTGTGGACTCAATACCTTTTTGGTCTTCTTTCTTTAAGCACAGCATGGAGTTTTTGACCTGGCCAGATGAGAACAGCTCTACTCATCACTAGAAAACTAATTAATCTGACTGGAACGATTGTCATTATTACAAATATATAATTTCAATGTTTTTTCCAAAGTGTCCACTCTGTGTGACATTTAGCATTTAGGCCTTGCAGAAAGGGGATTAGAAGACATACATTCGATGGCATGTAAATGTGTGTAATGTGTAAATACATGAATGAGTGCTTGCGTGCGTGCGTGTGTGTGTGTGTTCGTGTGTGTGTGGCGGAGAATGCCGGATGCATGCATCTGTAGCTGAGTAGTGTGTGACTTACCCCCGGCTGTCCCTGAGGGCTGAACATGCTCTGACAGCGCTGATGCTTCTCAGCATCCCACTCCTTCGAAAGCTTTCATCTACAGTATGTTCGCTATCACTCAAAACTCCCTTCTCTCCTTCCTAATCGGACTCTCTATCTTTTTCTTTCTACCGCTTTTGTCTTCCTGTACTATGTCTCCATCCTTTCTGTCTCTTTCTCTCAACATCCCTCTTCTTTCACTTCCTCCTTCTCTCCTTCTGTCCTCACTCTTTTACTTTCCTTGGTCTGCATTTCCCATTTTTTATTCACTTTCTACCTCTTTCTTTCTTCTCTACTCATCTCTCTCTCTCTCTCTCTCCCTCTATCTCTCTCTCTCTCTCTCTCTTTCTCTCTCTCTCTCTGTCTCGCTCTCTCATCCTTTTCTTCTTCTCTCTCTGCCGCCCCTCACCAGCACTCCAGGAGCTTGGTATCGCTTGTCTCTCGGCTGGCACAGAGAACAGGCAGACACATGGGAGGGCTGTTTTGTAATCCAGCAGGTCATACCACCCTGGCACAGGAAAGGGGGGCTGATGGGATGCTGAGAGGGAGGGGAGGGGGGAGGGAGGACTGAGCAGGCCTATACTACTACCTTCCAACCTATACCTTTCCTGCATCCCTCCGTCTGCGAGCTGATGGTCTCTCCCTTTTTTCCCACCGACGACGGGAGGTCTCGCCTCACTACATCCTCTGTGCATGTCGAGGTTTTAGGAATGAGCAGGGAAGGAGAGCAAGAAAGGAAACAAGGAAGGACAGAAGGAAGCGGCTGAATGGGAGTGGGAGGAAGTGTGGGAAGAAAAAGAGGGATGAAAAGGAGGAAGAAAGGAAAGGAGAGGGATGGGAATGAAAGGGACGACGATTACAGGATGAACATGGGGGGAGGGATGCCTCAAAGAGCTGTAGACTGAATAGGTGAAGCCACTCCACTTGGGAAATATTTTTAGGTACAGGAATCAAATGTATGATAAAAATGAACAAAGAGCATGGTCATGATGCATGATGCTGTATTCTTTGGGTTATAACCCAGCTGCACGTTTGGCGCCACTGATAACATGCAAAAGTGTGTTTAAAACAGACTGATGAGCAGAGGCAGTGTGAGCGAGTGAGAGACAGAAAAAGACAGAGGTTAGGTCTCAGGGCGACTGAGCGGCTGTCTGCCTCACTGCGAGCTGTCATCTCTCCTGCAGTTGGTCAAATTGCTGCCCATTCATCCTCACTTTCACCTCAGTCAACTCAGGAAGACGCTGCTCTTCAGCTGTCAGAATGATACGGATATGTGAGTTTTCCCAATGTGGTTGCTCCGATATATGTTGAGACTGGGCAATCCTGCAACATTTACTGGCATTATCTGTTCTGTATTGTTCTTATTGGAAGTAAACTACACTCAAAATGATCACTGAAAATACATACCTAAAGACTAACTGAAGCCAACAAAGACTGGACAAACCACACCTAAGGAGTTTGTTGATGAGTCAAGGGAACTCTTTGTACATCTACTTCATGAGGCAGGTGCACAGGAAGCACACATCCAACATGTACAAATATGGACTCCGACACACTGTCTAGCTTGAAAACATAAATTTATTAAAGCAATGTTTTTCGTACTAGACCTTCTTGTACTGGACAAGACAACTAGACCAGACGAGGCAAATTTTCCTGATGAAGGTCTAATCCCGAAATGTTAGTTTACAAAAAGGTATGTTTGCGAGTTAGACAGTGTGGGGGAGTACCAGGTTAATGGTGACCCCATGAATCCTACAAGAACCATCTCGCTTTTGTGTTTTGCAGCTTCTGCTGTTTCTGCACAGTAAAATTTGCACTAAAAAGGCCATTAAAGAGGAGAGAGCACAGAATTTGTTCATGATCCTGGACAGAGAGTGCTATAGGACTGATTCTACATGGCAAAACGACAGTATCTCCAGGTAACACTGTTTATTTATCATCGGGTGTCTCTTATTAACGAGCAAGTGACATCAGTAGTTGCAGGTGTATCACTAGTATTAAATATCCATCCATCCATTAT